TAAGTTTATATAATTTCATATATATAAGTATATAATTCATCATCTTAATACTTTCTTTGTAATATTTTAGTATATTATTCCTAAACAACTCTAATATATACCTAGTATTTTGATTACAAAATTAAAATCTACTATAGTATAAGCTTGAGCATATAATAGACTTCTGACTATGCATATATAAGGAATATTTATTTTTATCTAATTTTTTCAAGTCATTTTAAAAATATTTCTTTTGGTGAAAAGTTTCTTGGTTTGGTATAATAAACCAAGATCTATTAGTTAGTAAAATATTATCCACATATAGATCGATATAATAAACTAACTCCTATTGATTTTTAGATATAAATACTCATCATTAGTATTTTTTAAATTCAAAAGAAATAATGGTACTAAGAAACTTTACATAGAAGCTTATTTATGGTCACAAATGAATTTTTTAAATTTATATATCAAATTTTATATTATTTTATTTTCTTCATGAATCATTTAAGTTAATCTATATAGATTTAGATTTTCATTTAGAAAACTTATTTTCATATCCATATGATATAACTAAAAATCATAATAAGTCACTAATATCATGATGATTCTTAATTAGTTCATTTAAAAAACTAGAAAAAATTTCTCGTCAATGTATTCTTAATGAGTAAAATATTTGACTATAAGTCTAGTTGTTATATCATTTTAACTCTTCTTTTATCACGTTGTACTATTTTTTAGAATCGCTATTTTCTATAACTTATGAAAATAATATGGGATCCTTTTGATTTTTATATCATAATCTAATTCTTATAGATATACCACATAATAATAATAAATGATAGGTTTTATTTCCCATTGAAATCTTCTCAGACTTATCAATTGTGATTGTTTTACAAGATTTTTAACGACAACATCAATATCATACGAGAGTTCATCAATCTTATTTTGTTATTCACTCTTATCAATTTTTTTAGTAATTTAAAGAATAATAATCTCTCAAAGGAATATCAACTTATATTTCATTGATATCAAAATTAAATTTTGAGATTTTCACTTTCATAGATTTACTATTTTCTAGAATCCTACGTTACCATATTCAACTATCCTTGTACTATGATTAAAATAAAATAAATTTGTATCCCTTTAATTTTTTCTAAATAAAAAATAAAATATATAAAAATAATTCTTAAATTCAATTTCTTTCATGTAATTTGAAAAACCTTATCTCTATAGGACAATCTTAAATATATAAATATCTCAAACTGAATTTCCTATCAGTCCATAATTCAAAAGAAGTTGGAATTGACTTACTAGGAACCATATTCAAGATATACATAACCAGCTTATCCTAATATTAATTCAGGTATAAAAAAATAACTCATTATGCTCCTATCTATATCCGTAAGAATATAATTTCATCTTCCAACAATCCTATTCTACCGTGGCATATCTAATAAAATATATTAAACATAAATATCTCATTTTTTTTAAGTATATAGTAAAAGAACCAGAATTTTGATCAAACTCATCATAAATATTATAAAATTTATCGCTCATATTAGATCTAATAATTTTGACTCTTCTATCTAATTGTTTCTTGACTTTATTTATGTATACCTAAAGGTGTCAACCGCTTGAGACTTTATATGAATTAGATATATATAATCATATCTTAACATGTTATCTATAAGGGTGATAAGATGTCTCTCTCTATTAAAATAGAAAATATAGAGTAACATGTAGATATAAATATATGTAATCTTAAAGAGTTTGTAAAACTATATTGCATTTGAATCATTGTAAACTCAAGATTCATATTAATTCTGTACAAACTAACATACAAAATTTAAAAAAACTTTCATTGAATCATAATGAGTTTACCTCAATAAAAAAATTATATATATCTTAATAATTTTAGATAAAGAACTCAAATTTTTAGAATTATATGAACATAACATAAGATGAATCATCTATAGGTATAAGCGATAAGTATCAATTACTATCGCTTTCACTTTAAGATGATTCCTTGTTAATATTTCTACCTTTTTTTTTCTCGTATTAAAATGAATCTATATTATTGGTAATATAAGTTGAAGTGTCAGAATCATTCTACTAAGTATTAAAAAAGGATTCCTTTTGATTCGAAATATATAAAGTCAAACTTATATATTTCTTTTTTGAACCAAAACCTTATAATTCTTCTTCACATACCTTTTCTTGCTATAGAAGTAGCACTTACTAGTGAAGATTTTCTTGTATGACCTTATATAGCATTTAAAGACCAGATGATTTAAACTTAGTCATACCGAGTCTCAATCAGTTCTTTCATTAATATGTTAGTCCATGACTTATTAGTAAATTTAAATTAATTTTTAAAATATTTCAGTGATTAGTTGTAGATTATAATGAAGTCTAAATATTATTAGTAATTATTATAAAACTGTCTTTTAGACTTTTTCATATCATTTATCTCAATTATTTATTTTATAAAATTTTCAATAATTATGTCTATGATCCTTTCCATTAGTGTGATCAAAGTTTGACATATATAGTATAAATTATATATATTCAAGCCATTTATAATAATTTAATCTAAAAAATATATGAACATTTACAAGAATAGAGTGATGAAAGTATTATTATAATAAAATAATATAATATTAATACTTTGAGTTTTTCGATATATGTTGAACTATGATGAAATATTGACATATATAGTATTCACTCAAAATAATTTATGGAGGATTGATAATATTGTTAGTATATAACCTTAAACTATAAGGATATCCAAAATAGTATCATCATGCCTTATCATATAATTATTCAAAATAAATTCTCTTTTGTGGTTATTTAAATCTCATAATTAAATGTGTCATTGTGAATATTATTTTTTTAATATTATTTAGGATTAATTATTTAATATAATTTTATAAGTCATTGGTCTAGGCTACTTTGATGGTTACAAAACCAATACAATTATATAAAATATAATTTAAAATATTTTATAACAAAAAAATTTATTATAATTCATGTACCCTAAATCTATTATCCTATGCCACTTTGGAAACTACTAATAAGGTAAAACTTAGGGATATGAGTTACAAATAATATTCATCAAAATTTTAAATTTTAATATATGTCGAACGATCCAATAATAAAATAATAATAATAATTTAAAGAAAAACTCATATGACAACTATAATCATGATGAAATATAAATCATATATTTATGTAAAAAATAAATATTATTTCATAATTTCAAATATATCAAATAAACAACCAAACAAATATCCAAGAATAATAATTAAAATTTTATTTTTCATATATAAAATTTTATCAATATGTCATATGAGAAAACTATAAAAGAAAATCATAATTTATTATTTATTATAATTCCATATGATATGATAACCCTAGACTAGTCAATCCTATTTAATTTAATTAGTCTAAAATTGGGCTATTGGGCTCATAGATTTAGATCAATTATCTATCGTATTAGGTCTATCAAAATTAAAGTTGATCAAAATAAAAAATTAATAAAAATTTAACTTTCTTTGAATTCTATTAAAATTTGATTGATCGAATCTAAATCCAAGCAATCAAAATACAATCGATCAAGTCCAATTAAAATATTTAATTAAAATAAATCAAATTAGTTAATTTTATAATTGAGGACAAGTAAAAAAATTTTAATTTCTAAAGGATAAAACTATAATTTTACTTACAATATATAATGAAAAAATATATTTTCTTAAGGGTAGAAATGTTAATAGGACATAAGTTGGAATTAAAAGACTTATAAGGCAAAATTATAATTTCAATAAATAAAACCCTAACAGCTACCCTTGTAGTCGTCGTTGTGTTCTACTATGCCCATGTACACAGGGCATCGTTAATCGAGTGTCATTAATGAATCGTCCCACTATGTGATCGTGCACATGTGCTGACCAACAATCCTCACGGTCATTATGGTGCATGGTTGTGCCCACGCATGTGTCCATTGTGCAATTACAACCAACTAATGCCGCAGTAATGTTGTTGTAGCCACTACAAGCAGCAACGCTTCTATAACCACCGCACGTTGCTACCATCGAAGTTGCTGTACATAGTAGTAATAGCTGCATGTAGCGATAGTCGTGTTGTCATTGTAGACAATGGCGTTGTTGTTGCCGCCTACGACTGAGACAAGTTCGATATCGTAAGGCTATCACACACTCCACGACACTTCCGTTATGTATGTAGTCATTGCTTGTGACTAGGTTGATGATCACCAGATGCCATCACCCTCAACACTATTGTCATTGATAATAAATTGTCGCTAGTTATCCATCGATCAAACACAAGGAACCTCGCATCGATTACAAGCAAGTGATAAGACAAGCAAGATAAGAAAGCAAATCAACAACACCAACAATCATTGAAGTATGATAAATCAAAACCGAATAACATTTTTTTGCGGTATAGATTTATCATTAAACACGTGAAACATTTGAGTTATGAAAAAAAATAAGATTAAATATTCTACTTTTATAAATATAAAGATACCTAACGTTTAAAAATATAAAGATTGAAATGCTTTAAATAACTAATTACATGAGATATTTATCTCATATGTAATTAGCCCGATATTTGATAAATGAAGTAAAGTTTCTGATTTGATGGGGACTGAGTTGAACCATCAGTGAAATATTCAAAGTTAGAAGAGGAGTTAAGTTTGGTTCGACTTTGAATAAGAAAACTAACAAAATTTATAGAAAAATAAATGAGATAGTTGAAATGAAAATAAAAGAAAAATGTGTCAATATTTATATTACTAATAAGAAAAATGAAAGAAACCTCAAAGAGGAAGAAACAACTTCCCAAACTGAAGAAAACTAAAATGCTAATCTCAAAACAGGGATGATTTCTTTCCTTAATAGATAAAAGTAAGGAATATACCTTATAATATTAGATATAATTGTTAGTCTCTTAGCTCAATGCATAGACAGGCAAGTCTCACTTCTTTGATAGGCAGACCATAAAGAAGGGCATCATATAAAAAAGCACCCGAATAACTTAACATTGGCTTAATGGCTATATCATGTATTTACCATACAGCATCGCAAAAATGCAACATGGCTTCATCTAACCGGGATACGACAATAGGCTTTTCACACAAAAATTGGCTCAGATGATGGTTTCATTTATCAGATCGCGGTGACTTCTGATTCCTGAATTAAGCTGCAAGAATGATGATCACGATGAGTAGAACGATGCCAAAGATCACCAACAGCAAGCATGTCTGCAGAAGAAGTAAACCTTGCTGAGAAATGGACATTCGCTGGCAAGCTGGATGCACAAATTGAAGCTAATATACCAGAGAAGAATTGGACTTCTGTGCTTTAGATGCCTTGGTGAGCTGAGTCTTTGCCTGTACGGCTGCTGCAAGTGAGTTATCAATGTGGGAATCTATGTCATCTGCAAGTGGTGAAACTACTTCAGTCCGAGAAGCCAATGATGAAAGCTTCAATTGAAGATGCAACAAAGAAAATTTACCAATCATAGCTCCTTGATCATGAACTAGCACTGCAAGATCCTTGAAAATTTCGTTCACCTCACTGATCTGCTGTTGAATCTCCTGTATGCCTTGCTCTCTCTCCTCGATTATGGCCTCGTTGAGAACAATTTCAGTATCCAACAGAAGTCCTTCTTGTCTAACATAAGCACATTTTTAGTTGACGTCGAAAAGTTCTATTAAGAACTTAACCAGTCTAAGACATCAACATTACTATTGTAAGTTCAGTAACAAGTTCCAAGGAATGGTTACCAAGCATGATATTGTACCCTCTTAAAGAAGATTGAAATTTGACTAATGCTAAATAATTCACACACAGACAACCAAAGCCCATCTACTGGACACGACATCAATGGTCCAAAGATTAATGTAAAATTATCTTGCGTGAAAGTTCCTAGCTGAATTTTAGGCACCATGTTCAAGATATCAATTCTATATATGAAGTTGATTAAAAAATCTAAATTCAAACAACAGCTTATTGAATGTACAATGTATAGTTGTCAAATGAAAATTCTAAAAATAACTTTGTCAAACAAAACATAACCATCGGAATTTTTAGCAACTATCCAAGCCCCTAGATCTTAAGCAAACAGAAGTAAGCAATTTACTGACATCCATGGGCCCACATACCTTATGCAGAATAAATCAGTCATTTTTTTATGACTGATAAATAGATAACCAAAGCTCTATCAATATCATAGAAATGTATTTTCAGAATAGCTGAATTACAAAAACCATCACATAACTGTCACATGAAAGTTACTGTGATCAAGAAACTAATATAACAGTATGGTAATAGCTACAAACCATAGTCTGCTCGATGTAGGTGGTCCGCGTACCGGTTCACAAGCGGACCGGTACCGGGCGGTACAATTTGAAATCGCAAACCTTGGTTTTAGTGCCTTAGCACTAAAGCCTTGGGCTTAAACATTTTGTGTATAGTTAGATGTTCCATACATATTAAAACATTGTGCTACTCAGATTGTAACAATTTTAAAAGCATAAGATCACAAGATTAAAGAATGAGGTTGAGTCCTTCTCTTACCTCCTAGATTCTGCTAGCATTGAGCATGCCTCAAATGTTTTATCAGAACTACCATCTACCCCACTCGACGCATAGCTGCACAGCATTGATCAGGCCATAAGAAATAGTAATCAGGAGGTGAAGGTAGGATGACAACTACAAAGACTAAGAAACTTAAATGAATGAATTACAACATTCATATGGAAACCTCAAGTCAAAGACAAACATAAATTAGAAAACTTACGCCTAAAACTAACTATAAAGGTCTTGCTTTCAGTCATTATTATTTATTCATGCATGATGAAAGAAAACTACAGAAGCTACACATCTAAAAATTGTAATATGAACAAACAAATACAAAGAAAAAATCCATCCTTGAAATGTTGAGATGAAGAATGTCCCTCAACAATCGGAAGCTATCACAAATACCCGTGAAAGACAGAATTTTGTTCTCTTTTTGGAACAAGATTCTATCAGAAATACCCCTCAAAAGTGAAACAAGGATTATTATTATAAAAATATCACATTTTTTGAAAGGCATGCTTTTTTGAACTTTATCCAAATCATTTGTAGCACAAAATATCTAAACTCAACTAAATTGATGAATAGGTTGATGCATGAAGATGAAAGAAAAATGACTGAAAAATCAAACTTTAAAGGCATAAATTAGCTGATTGACCATATGAATCCGACAAATACCACCTTGATGGAAGAACTGCTTGGGGAACAAAAGGGATGTAAGCAGTTTCCCTCTCAGCTGCAATTCTTTGAGCTTTCTGAAACTCTTTCAGAATTGCTTGGAAATCTTTTGCGAGCTTTGCATCAGCAATCTTTTTGCTTGTCTGCAATAAAAAAAGCATGAGATAATAAGTATGAACAGAATTTAGTTATTCTTTGCCTCCAGCAATAAAGCATGAAATTAACATAAAGAGAAACAACATGTTCCATGTCCAACTTAATGGAACAGAAAGACATCACTGATTGAAAACTTCAGCTTATTATTGGCCAACAGCAGAGCTGATAATGTCTTAGGGCCACACTTGGTCTCAGGATTCCTCACAGCCACACAATATAACAACTTTCAGAGATAACTACTGAACATCGATTGCTGTAACTTATTGACAAGCAACTAACAATGAAGAAAAAAGAGAAAAAAAAGAAGTGTTTGCAGACCTTTCTGATGGACAACATAGCACACTTCAAATACACGATAGAACTTGATCAATAAAAGAGTTGTGCCTGCTCAAGCCTTCTTTAATTTAATATAAATAAAATACAAATATTTGATTATGTAGTATTGAAGGACTTCGTTGGGGAACTGATATTGGCATGGCAAAGCATGGTTGACAAAATGGACCTCTAGCTTTGTTGTGAAAAATATGAAAACCTGGGCTGAAATCGCCAGCATTCATCGAGAGCTAAACCATATTTTTGGTCATCAATAGACCTTTGATGCTTTAATCTTTTCTTCAAGACCTCCAAAATTGATGATGATGTACAAAATCCGAAATCAAAATAAATTGAAGACCAACAGAAATGACAAAATGGTATATGCATGATACTATTTTAAAAAGAGGGTAACTTAACAAAATGAGCCTATTAAAGGTGGTAAATATGAGAAATCATGAATATTGATTTGAATGCATGAGACTAAGTGTTAACTTCATTACAAGCAGCAGATCATGTTCGCTCAAGCAAAATTAGCCCCGACCAAAACTATACCAAGCAGCTCAATTCACTGAATTCTAACTAATATAAGCTCCAACCCAAAGCATTGAAAGCTGATGAGGATGCTTAGATCAATTTCTCGCCTATAACATGTCATTGTCAGACCATGCAAGACTAACTCTGAGCAGCCAGGCAGTATTATAGTGGAAACTTAATAAATTGCCAAGAAATAGAAACAAAGATGGAGACAAACAATTATACTCACACTAACTTCAGCATGATGATCTGTTTCACTGGCTTGTTTAAGTTCGGCAGCTGTATCTTTTACTAATTGTCGAATATCTAGCCTGGTTTTGTGCCTGTACTAGGACATGGACATTTAACAACAGAAAAAATTAGAAAGGCAACTTGTGCAAATGCAGCATCTTTCAATTAATAAAGAATTTGTCATAGCATTCAATGGACTTGTATGATATAAAAAATATGAAGCAAATCTATGAAGCTCATGCAGGGGTTTGGTGATGAAAAGAAAAAAAAGGTTATACAGACTAAGGTTTACTTATGCAAGAGTGCTAGCTATGATGTAGCTAGGTCTTGTTTTCAGTATTGGCTCAGGTCTTTCTTGTGATGATGTCTTTTGGATTGATGAAAGAATTCTCTGATCATTCTGATAAAAGATGCAAATCAAGTTTCTGTAGTGGATTCACCCCTTTGCTGAAGTGACACCTCCGGGATGTTTAAACTTTAAAGTGGTCTGACCATAATGATCTAGGACCAAAATAACTGTAGTAGAATTTTAGATTGATCTGGCCAACAATACACAAGATTTTAAAAGTTGATGTGCAGAAACAAGCTGAACAACTTTTCCTCTCAATGGGCAACTTTAAACTTATTATTTCAATATTTATGATCATTTCTAAGGTTAAGATGTTAAGACATACAAATAAGAAGAGCCTAAGTGTCCAAAAAATAGATCTTGATGTCTCATTTCGTATTTTCCATTATATTCCAGACGAGTCTAGTTTATCAGTTTAAATTGTTTGAGAATGCTTTTATATCCACAAAGATAGCTCATGTTAAAGACATATAGGGGGCATTTTATCACACGTCACATACAGTTATTTTCAATAGTTTCTGACAAGTTTCTTTTAGTGTATTTGGTCAGCCAACATTTCTTTTAATCCTAAACGTAATGGCCTTCATCACACTTTTAAATTGCATATGTATAAGGATCTAGTACACAAGAACTTCAGCAAGTTAATAAGAACAAAGAAAATGGTATTGCCTATGCAAGATATATGGAGAAAAGAGATTGAGATCATACTTAAAATGATCAGGGACATCCTTGCGAGAAGGCAAGGATATGATAATCAAATGCACTAATAAAAAACAACAAAATCCAAATTTAATTATTATAACATAGATCAGCCCTGGCCTAAACCAGGACTAACATGCCTTTGAACCAACCAGGCTGGCCATGTGTGGGGACAAGATGAGACTGGTTCAACATACACTCAGAACAAAATTGTCCTTCAAATACCTGCACAGCTCAAGTCAAACACATCAGAGACTCTAGATTAAGACCTGGCCAACACAATAAGTGGTCAGCCCCCTCCTACTTGAGTTAGGAGTAGAGAGAAGCACAACCACAACTAACAGAGTAGGACTAGAAGTGGAGACAGCTGGACAGTTTAGAGAAAAATGGAGAGGAGAATTCAAGTGGAACAACACTTTATCTAGGATATTTTCCATAACAGGCACATACTTGTTGCCTCCTTGAAGGCTATGAGAGCTCTATTTAGGAGAGGATCATACCACCATTGAGCCACAACCTAACAGTAGCATGTCTACATTCCACAAGCTTGATGCCTTGATGCCTTGATGCTCTGGACAAAAAAGAATCTGCTCTACAAGTACTTCCAGTACCTTGCTAGGAACAAGGCTTTCTGGCCATCCTTGGAGCTAAATAATTCATGTCGATCAATTTCTTATATGCATACCTCTTAAAGCAAAAAATTGACTAAAAGCCTTGCCACTAGGACACTGCTGTAACAATTGAATTTACCCATCAAGCAAATGCAAAAGTGAAAGTGGAAAACCCAGATCACCATTCAAGAAGCAGGACAAAAACATAAGCTTCTCAACGACCAAACGAACAGTCAAACAGATTCCTCATGAAATTCATCTTTATTAAGAGAAACAATCACAATGCTTTTTAATGTATGAGAAAATTCTAATGCAAAAAGACTAGGTAAGTGCGACGGCCATGCATCATGAGGACCTAGCCCACCTAATCTAGCAGGAACAAGATCAATCCCCTGTACAGTCCCGTACATTCTTGACATAACACGACTGCCGATCTCAGAAAAGACAAAAGCATAAGGATAGAAAGAAACCATATTGCCAATGCTATCCAGCTAATGAATCATCAAATGCGCAACCACAAGCAAAAGAAACTCACAGCCTCTCGCGGAGCTCGGGGGTATCCTTGGGGGTGCCGAGGGTGTTGACGAGGCGCTGGAAGGTGGAGACGGCTGTGTTGATCTGGAAAACACCAGCGACTACCGCCTGGGTCGGATCCTTCCCTCCTCCACCTCCATTCTGCATCGAATCTCGCCCCCGTTTCCCCGACAGCGGCCGGCCCGACTCGAGATCCTGAAAACTCATCTCCTCTTCCTCTTACACCTTCCCCTTTCCTAACCAAATACGAACCCTACAAAGAGAAGACATCCGGCAGCAGCAGGGGCGGGGCAGAGCGATCCGAAGCAGAATTGTGAGGGGAATTACGGTAATAACAGGAATTGATGAATTGGAATAGGGCTTCTTTTTTGTTTTTTACTCGTTCGCTGTAAAGGCTTCTAATCAAGCAAAGTCCAACCGAGCAAGGGAAGGAAAGGCGAGCAGGAGCCGACGAGCCTCGGGGGGTTCGCACCGCACAAGCCCAACGCGAGAGAGGTGCAACCTTTCTTGTGAACGGAGGTGGAGCGGTGCGTAACGAAGCTCCGGCACATGTCGGTCGCTCTGCCGCTTATGGGCTAGAAGGATGCGTGGAGTCCCGGCTGTTCCGGTTGGGTCGTGTAAGGTCTATGGCGAGTTGATGTTACGGTGTACTTGTTATTGGACTTTAAATAACCACCGCATGATGTTACATCTATGATGATCGCCCCAAGATTCGTTTGGTCAAATTTTGACTTTAGGATTGAAGTCAACAAGAACTGCTCCATCTTGACCTTTCGCTTCTGGATTAATTATTTTGACACTAACATAAATTACGACAATTGAAGATTCATTCATGCACATACAAATGTAAATTATCTATTATTTTACTAATAATGTTTTTTATCTGGATACATCAAAACTCCAAGCATTTGATAAAAAAGAAAAATTATTTATAAATTATCCTATATAATTATCGTTCCTAAGCTTAAAAAAATTATAATAAAACCTTTATAATTATAAAAATAAAATAATTAATCTCATTTATCCTAATAATAAAATATTTAATCTCATCATAGATTTCACCAAAACATTTTACTGTAGTTAAACCTCATCTTAGATTTCAATCAATCGTGTGAGAATAAATGAGATTAAATATTTTATTTATATAATTATAAAAAAATTTAATATAAATTTCTAAAATTAAAAATAAAATATTAAAAAAATCTAACCGGATAATTTAAAATTAACCCGACAAATAGAAATAAAGGTTTACTACAGATTTTTCAGCAGCTTTCCATAAGTCTGTCTTGAGGAATCAAAATACTACATATAGTATGTGAAGGGACGCTATCAGATATAAACCTTATAACTAATATTAATCAGAAGAAAAAACTTAATATAGTTATAGGCCAACTGAAGGCCAGAAAACAAAACTGTCTTTTTTGTTTAACACTGCCATAAGAGTCACTTGCTCAAGCTTTAGCTGCATTGCTTTGTTGTTGAGGCGTTCCCTAAGAACCAGCTGCAGTAATCCAGTAAAACATGTTCAGCAGAATCCCACAGCTCCATGCCCTATAGGAGGTTAGTTGTTGATTTCGATCTTAGCAACAATTTGAGAATAGCACTCCATGAAGTAGGGAAGCCAAGAAAGAAGAGGAACGAGTAATCTGTACAAGTCCACAGATCCAGACAGTAGCTTCCATGTTTGTCATTAGAGGGTACATCTGCAGCAAGAATCTGGGGACGATCTAGGTTGGACCACCAAACACTGGCCTCATGTACTTGTCATCAAACTTCCTCCAATATGCATGTATGGTGTGTACTGGCCTCGCGAGCAGCCGTGACAAACTTCTTCTCGCTTGTTGAAGCCCAGACTCAGCAGAGTCCTCAGGAGGAATTAAAGAAAGGGTAATGTCATCGGTTTTAGGTTGTTGATCGCTGCCGTGATGCACATGATGAGGTAGTACAACATTTATGAGTGGCTTTGTCAGAAACCCGAACACCTGAGATATAAGGTAATCCAATCATGTGACTAACAACAGCTGATAAATGAACAACGGTTGGGCATCCTCAGTTGAGAAGAAATTCTGTAACAAGAACCAACCAAAAAGAGTAAGACTGCAACTTTATAAACTGATAATGCCAAGACTACAACGCAAACCTGGATTATGCAAATGACAGTAACTTCTGTTATAGGGACATCTTCGTTTTTTTGTTTCCTAATGTTGTCACTCATACTAAAAATTGATAACCTCGATCAGAAACATGATACAATGCCTTTATCCAAACCTGGAATCTATCAGTCACACTGCCTTTAGTTTTGGTGCAGTTCCCTCAGGTACCAAGAACAAACACCAATAACAGTTTGCAATCTAACATAACTAAACATTATATTAAGCAAGTGTTAGAATAATAACCCATGGCAAGATTTGCCACATTGAATCAGCTGCAAGTATGTTAAAAAAACGAAAAAAGGAGACAAACCTATAAAGTATACAGATCGGGTTAAACAGCATAAAATACAAATAATAAATCAAGGCATGATAGTTATGATTACACTAAAATGGACAAATTTAACCTTAATATTCAGATTGCAAATAAGGTAAATATTAGACTAACTTGATTATTACTGTTTGCATTGTTTGTGATCAGACATTTAGCTCATCTGATGCCAAATTGTACGAAGTTTAATTCAGCAGTTGGCCCTCAAAATGATAAATAAAAGAACAATTCAGTTTTTATTTAAAATATAGTAATCTTCAAGAAGAAACTGCCACATGGGTGTATCTGCGTGCCTGGAATTTGTCAGCTTTGGTTGACGTATAGTATAATGTAGAACAAATAGGAACAAACAGGTGTACTTATAATATCTCAATATTAAAAAATAGTCACTTCCGGAGAAACAAAATTACATTTTATATATGAAAGTGTTCGTATGTGGGGGTCATGACTTACCAGAGTGCTGAAAAGCACAACTACCATTGTGCTGGTGATCATTGTTGCATAAACTGGATCCCATGTAACACCAGAGTGTGCAAACTGTAGAAGATGGAGATTTGAGTTGTCTCATACTGATTGATGTATTATTGTATTTAGAATAAAAAATAAGCTCACCTGACTGAATGCCAATGCAATAGACACAGCTCCCCTCATGAGACCAGCCCACCAAATCACGACCTGGCAATTCAAATTACAACAATCATGCCCTCGTCAGTGGAACAGACAATGCAATAGATAAAATTTTATAAGCAAGATCATTCATTTCTATATCCAGAGACTTGGTGAATGTTAAACAAAGAAGAGTGAACATGTAACCTGGTGTCTGAGTGTTATCAGTGATGTTTCAGAATGCGAACTTATGTAGTTGGATAAAATAGAGAGAGGGAAAACAAATGCAGCACGGCCCAGCAAAACTAGAAAAATAATGACGCCATAGATGCCAAAGCACGTCTTCAAACTGCTAAAAAGATGACATTCTTCAGATTGGAAAGAATCAAATTATAGATTACATTGCCAGATGATAATGTAGATAAATTTTGAATATAATCTTGGAAAAGCAGAATCAAATGATTGAAAAGTAACTTTGAACTTATTTTATTCCTACTTTCAGGAGTTAAGTCTGAGATATTATAGCACTGCAAAAAAGTAATTTTAAAACACCAAAGAGATCAAAATTTCCAAATATGGAAGAGTTTATGGTTTCAAGTAATTTTCTAACCAAATTTTCTGATAATCTTAGGAAACAATCTATTGTTGATTTAACTCGCTAAGTTAAATTCAATAAACCTTCCTCAGATGACACATATTCCATGATGGACTTATCATGCTGAAACCAAGAAACACTGCACACATTCTACTACTGGATTCTACTACTGGAACCAAGTAAATTTCTAACCAATTTTTTCTGATAATCTTAGGAAACAATCTATTGTTGATTTAACTCACTAAGTTATATTTAATAAGCCTTCCTCAGTTGTCACATATTCCATGATGGACTTACCAAGCGGAAACCAAGAAACATTGCACACATTCTACTACTTCATCTCATGGTAGCACAAAGTTAAAAAAGAGAGTATCTAAATACATCATTCAGAAAGAAAATGTTATACATAGATCATAGAAACTATGATAACAGACTTTAGGATAACAGCAACATGTTCCATGTGAATAATTAATTAGTTTTCCACCTCTTATTGCAAACCACAACATGTAGATAAGTTTACAATCTGTATGTATCAAAATGGAGATACCTACTGACATTGAGGTTCCTATCAGAAAAGTTGGTCAGCAGTCTAACAAATGAAGGTTTTCTTATGAAGTCCAATGTAGAAAAGAAAATTTTAAAAAAAATCAAAACTGAATACTAGACCTCAAAACATGTCTAGATTGCCCAAAAGAAGGCACCATATACCAACAAATCATACTCATGCCGCCAAGACAACACAAAAATAAAGCAAAAAATTATACAATGAAGCTAACAATACCTTGTTTTCATTGCCTTCCACTTCTCAATGTCAAGGGCATCCATTCCCACATAAAGAAAGATGAATGTTTCTGCAATGAATGACATGGTAGCAAAAATATGCCTGCCAAAAATAAGGCAAGTATCTAAGGAATATCATTTTATAACATCAACAAGCACAAGAAATTTTTTTTTTACAATACATGCAATCAAGACCAACATAGTTTATACCATGAATCTATTTTTATTTTGATCAGGTAAGGCCTAGCCTACTAGTTTTAGATCATTGCCATAATTAGAGTTTTGGAACTCCTCCCAGGTATGATCCAAAGGTCAAGTATTTGTTTCCCTGATAACATAATTAACATAACTACACAGTAAATGTGCCTTCAACTTCTTAAATTATCCTATCAATCAAACTGAAAATAGTGGTTCCACTTCCAAGCACAATACATATGTTGCTATCTGATACTGGTTTATCAAAGTCAATAAAAATTTCCAAAAACTTGAGAATATTTCTACAAGAGAATTCATAATTATATTTGGTGACCAAACTAATAATGTCCAATCACAAAAAAGTCCTGAAAAACCAGATTGAATCAAGTTACTTGTTTCCTTGATCAATTTGCAAATCCAAAAGGTTCCCTCACTACCTTTCATGTAACATGACAACAAGCCCTAACACTTCAGTTCTACACCCTGACCCAGCCCCTTTCATTCTTCAACTAGCAACTCAATGGGCTGAAATTTGTTCTATGTCATAACAGGACCATATCAAGCTGCTGACAATATAGAGTCCAGAATCAACAAGACAACCGAGAAGACACACATAAAATAGATGAAACTTATCTAATTAAGAAAAAGAAGATAATTGCCACATTCCAATTCTTTCTGTCACAAGCATTAACAGGATACCTTGTAGTGATCCTAGAGTTTTCAGTTACATTATGCCATGCATAATGGGACATGACAATCCCACAAAAGAAAACAGTCAGAATCCCGCTCAACTGAGACAGCTGCACGAACAATTTGTGTTAGAGAAATAAACTTATCCCTCACAACTGAGCAGTCACTTTGATGTAATTGATCAACATTATATACAGAAGTAAAGAAG